GCCTGAATATCTAATCTGTTACATTCGGAGGAATGCTCAAGGGGCTTGCAAGAACTTGTTTTGCTACACGTTGAGCAACACCACATGGCAAAGCCTTGAAATTAGAGCAAATGCTTGAAGACAGGGCGTAGCTGCCTTTTGGAGCTCGTCCTTCACGGGCCGCATTTTATTAGAGAGCAGAGCTTTGCATCATCAGTCAGCATTCAGACCTGGGCTTTACTTGATGACATTTCAGCATGGTGGTTGCTATGGCTTTAAACAAATAAGGCTAAGTGTGAAATCACCAGTCGCCAGGCTAAACAGGGAGGGGCACAGTTTCCAAAGAAGATAAGTAACTTAAGCTCTAATAACTAAACAAAGTAACTTAAAAAGCGTTCTGAAGAGCAAGCTTAATTATCTGACACTTAAACATACAATAAGTATTACCATTATATACTGTTTCAGAGATAAATACTATTTCTTCCTTGGATTCCTTTTTTTTTTTTCCTTACTGTTGTTGATTCCTCCAACTAGCATATCTAACTATTATCAATAGGGAAAGGAATAAAAAAGTAAACTTTGACATTTTTGGCCTGCTGGGAAAGTGATATCATACCACAAAAATACCACAGACATATCAGCTTGTGCTGTGATTTCACTAGGGTGTACACAAAGACTTTCAAAAATCACAAAGATTTACAATACTATTCTAGTAACTGGCAGAAAATGGTTTGGACTGGTAATGACACTTAGGCTGTATTTTAGGAATTCTCAGTTCTGAAGGTGTCATCTAGCAGACTTGTAAAAAGGTGTCCTAGCTACTAATGGCATAGCTTATGTGACATATTATATACAACAAGAATATTTAATTTCCCAATTATTGGTTAGCATTTTCTCACTATTTCTGTCACCCTACCAATAAGAATATTAAAAGACAGAATGGTAAGAGTTGGAAAAAAACAAGAGTTCAACCTCTGAACAAGAGTTCAACCTGCTCATGAAGAAGGGTAGATTTTATTTCAGTATCTTCTACTGCTATCTTTCCATAGCAGTTACTAGGGAAAAAGGAGGGTATCCTAAACACATTCTCTGGAACAGTGCACTAACTTTATTCTATGCCACCTCATTACTTGTGTCCTTCATTACAAGAAAATCAGGAAATTTATGAAAGAGAGGTGTGGGAAAGATTGTCAAGCTCAATGTGTTATCTTTCAAACTGCTCAGCATGTACCAGAAGTCATTTATTTATTTATTTATTTATTTATTTTTAAGACTGTTAATTTTTAAAGGTCAATTTTCCGTATGAGGCAGGAGGGACACACATCCCTCAGGGCAGCAGGACACTTTCTGAAGAGTACAAGAAAATGATACCAAACAGCTCCTCAGAGTTCAAGTTACTGGTCATGATTTTGTAAGTTCAGTCCACTGTCTAAGAAGAAGGATACAGTGAGAAACCTGACTGTTTACAGCCTCAGCTTTTTCCATCTATCACAGAAGTAACACCACAATTGCACAGTTGCCACTGAATGTAATGGAACAGTTGCAAGAGATGCTTCAAGGTACTAAGCAGAAAGGTTTTAAAATTTATTTAAAAAGATTTTGAGGGAAGAGTAAAGTAGGACTTAATCTAGAAAAAGTAACTGAATTTGCAAAACCAAAACAAACAGACTGCAACCAAAGACTATTTTTTTTTTCCCTTGGGATGGGATGGAGGGTCTGTTACTGATCTCCAGTGACACAGCTCTCCGGACTGTATGGACCTTATTTAGGTGGCTTACAATTCCACCCATAACTAGGTCTTAACCAGTAAGTAACAGTAGTAGTAAATCTTATCAGCAGTGTGCTAAATATCAGAATCCAGCAGTGTATTAGTGCACAGTGAACTGGTCATATCTATTATCTCCATGTTAGCAAGGCTTCATACCCAACCATCACTTCAAAGCATTCCTACAGAAACTATAATTCTTTCAGAAAAGCCATTTAGCCACAATATATACTCCTTAAACTATTGCAGACTATGTTTGTTACTAGTACTAGAAACTCAGAGCAAAACCCAATTTACAGCTAGCTACACTACGGATACAGACTTTTTGATAGTGCACAAAAAAGCAAATGGCAGATAGGTAATTTTTCAGGGCGACTCCCTTACAAACGTTATTTATAATAACCATCCCTTCACTTTACAGTAAACTACTACACACAAACTGCAGCACTTCAGAAAACATTAAGGCTAAATGTGACTTCAAAATTGTCTTCTTGTGTTAACTTAGCATTGCAAGATTTGACAGTCCTCTGATATGACTGGAAATCTAAAAAAAAATCACATTGTAATCACAGACAGAAATGCAGCTTAGTTTTCTTCTGGAACAACTTGACCACAACAAAAGAATATGAAAAACCCCATCGTGTACTGCTGCAGCTAAGGAAAATCACAGTTCCTTTATGTGGCCATGCCCTTCTCTATGCATGCTGGTATCCATGCACAACGTCTTGACATGTGTTTGCAGGTGTCTGTGTGCTTCAGAAGAATTAGTTCATAAAGGTTGGATTTGCTGTTTCTTCAGTTAGTCCTCACTGACTTGAGAGGATACCACCCAAAGCAGAACTCCAGCACAAGAACTCATGTCCCCTGCAGACACAAGACCAAGATTCAGTGTTTTTACATCAGTATAACACTTTTGTCAAGACAACTCAACCAAAAGTTGCATTGATGTGAAGACACAGATTCTAGACCGGCTTCCTTCCTCTCCCCACCACTGTTTCCTCACCAGGGCCTTGCAAATGCAACTAGAGCAAGGCATCCTGATTGACCCATATGCAGCCAACTGTTTCAACATCCAAGCAGAGATCCGGTTTGTGACTATAGTCAAACTTTCAGGTATGCAATAGTTTAGGACAATGTGCTTCCAGACTTAAGCAAGCAGCAAGGATCAATGCCTGCAGCAAGGCAAGGGGATGGAGTCTCTGAAAGTTGCTCTTGTTATGAATTATGTCTATACATTTCTAGACCCTTTTAGCAACACGCAGACAAGAGCAGCAGGGTCTCCACTGTGCACTCACTGTTGTAGTGTTTCTCAGAAACCTACATTTAGCTTGTCACACATGACCACTTCGTGGAGAAGTTGCTTCTGTCCCGCCTCCAAGTTACTGAGTCGTTATGAGGAGAGAAGTTTCACAGCACAAACAGCTGCAAGCCACTTCATGGGATAAAAAGAGACAGATCTTTGAAACAGTGGACAGGAGTAATTACAAATTACTGCAGCCTCTTGTCTCCCATAATGTACCATGATGGCCTGAGTCTCCATATATTCAGATTTAATTCATCAACACCTTCACAGTAAAGTTGCACCATGTGCAGCAAGATTAACAAGTTTCCTACAAACTTTAGATTCTGCACTTTGTCACAGGAACATTTATCATACTGTCAGGTACAGTAAACCCTGCAACCCCACAGCAAGTGACTGTGGCATGAGAAGGATCAGTTAACGTTTGCATGATTATTATGCACTGTGAAAGCTTTCTGTCCAAGACTTTTTCTGCTGATAAAGGTCTTGCCAAATGTTGAAAAAGGTGAATTACTGACAGATTTTACTGTCTAACTCTGCTGGACTATGTGCAGTCACTGCACACAGCACTGATCAAAAGAAGCAACTAACGAGTGTCAAAACAGACTGAGAACTCTTCAAAGCTCATTCTTACAGTAAAACTTCAAACAAAATACTGGAAAAATGGAAGTGGTTTTCTACAAATCAAATATGTAAAAGGATATGTCATACTCCAGTTTGTCTACTTGCTAAACATAGACACTTGGAGAATCAAGTAAGGAAAGGGCAAAATTATCCAGCAGCAGCTACAGCTGCACATATGAATAAACAAAAATGTAACGCATCGCTTTTTCTTTTTTAACTTGCACTCCAGAAGCAGGACACATAAAATGTGTTGAAGAATGACTTATGAAAAATGAAGAATTAGATGTTTTGGTTTTTTTCTTGCATATTAATCTCAGATACAGAAATCTTTTCTCTAAGAAGCTGCTAGATTCCAATAGCCAAGACTCTGGTAATGGCAGCCAAGACACTATTTTCAGCACTACTAGTAATTCAGACGTAGCATATATCTGTACTTCAACACCATCAAACAATACCATACAGTACTCTGTAAAGCATCAACGAGCTATATAACTGATTGAAAATTAGTTGCCAAATGAATTTCCACTTTAGGAGCTGCAAACAGCAGAATGCCTCAGGGTTTAACTTGGGGAGACCATTCCTTTGTCAAAGGTGAAACAGACACAGTCAATCAGATATTTAAATGAACGAAGAATGCCTAATGACTATTCCTTCAGTAAAGGTATAAATACAAACCAAGACAATGCAGAATTGTGGTAAGGTCAGCAGTGACTACTGACATGCAGTGAAGAGTTCAAATCTGTAGAGATATTTAGATCTTGTAAGATCATCAACGGCTCATGACAGAAATCATCGCTATCACCACCAGAATCACTCCTCTCCATGCTCAGGACTTATCACCCCCAAACATCTACGCTTTTCAAAGTGTGCAAAGTACTTGTGTTTTGGGAATTGGTCTCTAAGCATGCCAAATGGGCTTGACCTGGAGCCACAGTGAAAGTTGTAAGAACCCCTCGCTGATGACCCGGACCTATCCGGAGACCTTGTGATACTGACAGACTTCACTACCTGTTCTGTGCTGTAGACCAAACCAACCACGTTTCTTAGCAATGCCATCACTTGAGGCAGTCCTAGCAGAGTACCTTCCTTGCACTCACAGCAAGCGGGGGCATATCTGACAGGAGCTCCACCCTCTGCCCAAGGAAGGGGTCAACAAGACTTCCCTTACCAAAACCATTCCTCCTTCTCCTCCTACTCCCCAAGACAGAAAAGATCTGATAACAATTCAAATGAATGAAAGCCATATATAAATCAAAGCTACTTTGCTGTAGCACCTAAATAAGAAGGCACTTTGCATCTAAACCAAGACATCAGCTAGCGAGATGTGCACAGAAGCAAGCATCCACCACCCAACACAGACAAAGGAACAGACTGCGAAATCTCCAGAGCACAGATTACACCTAGGGCAAAGAAACAAAGAGGGGTGTTTGTTTGTTATGGGTCCACATCTGGAATGCAAAACCGGATCAGAAGGGCATCGGGGTAGCCTGCAAATCAAGTCATGCAGCGAGAACCTTCTCAAGGACAAGCGAGTTGTGTGCACAAGTATAACAAAGCATGGTACTTTTGAAGGATGAAGAAAAATGCTAAAAAGTGCTAAGATTACAGTGAACATAAAGTGTTTTGTTTTGGGGTTTGTTTGTGAGGATTGTTAGGGCCTTTTTTTTTTTTTTTCCCTTCACAGTGACACAGAGCCAACTTGCTGCCAGTTACTGAAAATGAGCTACATGGATAGAAATCATATAAACAGTCTCAAAATTTTTTTACCCGGTATCTATCTTTTAGCATCTCACAGTGACCAAAGTTTTAGGCAGAAAATCAAAACCTACAAGAAATAGACATTCAGCCATGAACTGAAGAAAAAAGGCAGACAAAATAGAGAAGCCATATTGAAAAATTTAGGAACACTGCAGAGCCAGAAGTCTGAGCACTGACACATTTTAGAAGACAAGAACAATCAAGTATGACAGCTGCAGCAATTAAGCACTCCTGAGTCTTTTTATATTGGTTTAAACTGTTAGGTGCTTAGGTTTTCCACTCGAATATCTGCTATAGATAAAGCAACCTTTAGCAGAATCAATAGGGAAAAACAACCAACCACCCCAACACTATTCTCAAATTTTCGTCATGTCAGTGTTAGATCCTCTGTCTTAGCCTAAATACCAGATAAAAGAAGGCATTTATGAAGGTAACCTGTCACTCTAAAGAACACATTTTTTTTCCTTTTGGCCACTCTACTACCAGAATAGTAAACTCTGGCACAGAGCTAGAGCTGCAGGCCACACTAGTAGCCTCTCATCAGCCATCAGGGTAACAGGGCAGCCCTGTCAGCACTTCTACCACCTAACAGATGTCAGCTAGAACACAGAGCAGGCTAGCGAAGAAGCCACCACACGAGACCTTTGGGAGGCTGAGCGTGAGACTGCTCTTGCAGAAAGTTCAAACGGGAGCGAGGTAATGTGGGGTGGTTTCCAGCTTAAACACTACCATGCTGAGAAGGGGGAGCTCTTTACAACCCTCCTAGACTACAGCCCATTATAGCCCTGCCCGTGAGTGGGAATTGCAGTGATTTCTTGTGTCTCATGGATCCCCCACTTCCGCTTGCATATTGCTAATTTATTATGACCAGAGATGATAAAATAAGTAAAGAACAAGTACTGCACGGCTGCATTTGTCCTGTGTGCTACCACAAGAGCTTTTACCTAGCCCTGCACTCATTTACAAATACAAGGACCAAAACAGCAGTGTAACTTTTTACGATTTTTTCCAGGATTCCTTAAAAAAATCCACACCTTGCTACATCTACAGTAAAGCATCTCACATCTCCCAGGCAGCATTACCTCTCTCACTAGGGAAAGCATGTTAAGGGTGGGGGAAAAGAAAAATCTTTATCAGTTTCTCCAGTCTTGCAGCATCTTTGCAGACGGAGGGTGAGGACTAACAGAAAGTAAAAATTGTATTTTTTGCCCCGTTATTATATAACAGGAAGTGCTACAGATTGCATGCTGTATGGTTCAGGATGCCCTTAAGAAGTCTTTAAACCTGTGCTAAGATCAAAATATTGTTTTATCTGCTCATTAGTAACTCTAACAGCAGAAGGTACACTTACAGGCATCACTTCAACCACCGAAAAAGGCTCTGGTGACATGATTAAACAGTTATACAATGATTAATATGGCTTCTACCTAATTTGCATATGCATTAAGAAAAGAAATATCCTCAGAGCATCTCAGCTACAACAACACAATTACTATGCATTGTCATGTCATTTCACACGTGCCACGAACGACTATGCACTAAGAGGAAAAGCTCATACACTCGATTGCTGCAGCTCAAATTTCTGAACAGATAGCACTCACGTATCCCCGATAAAAGCATGAAAAAATGTGAGTCTATCCCTCTCTTCTTGAATTTCAAATCATCAAGTGTAGCCTTCCGAAGAAGTTAAGAGGTGTTTACCAGCTCCTGAGTGGCTTTAAGGGATCTGAGCAATTGCTGTACACATAAAGATGTCTATGCCCCCCTGGCTCCTCACACAATTCCCCATTTTCACCAGCTGGCACAGACACATATCCCCACGTAAGATTTGCCTCCGAGTTAAAAGCAGAGTTTTCAAGCACAGTTTCAACGAGGGGAGAGGGCCCCGCGCTGCAGCTGGATCTGCTCAGGAGAAGCCCTGCCCTCCCCCAGCGGCGGGGCCAGCCCGCGGCCTCTGCACCGAGGGGCTTCTGGTGGGGGTGACCGTCACACTCCGACAGACCCTTCCCACTGCACCACGCCTGTACAGGGCTCGGCAGCGCTGCGGTAGCGGCTATGCTCAAAATAAAAAGGTGCAGCAGAAGCAAGGTAGGCAGTGGTACCGAGCAAGGGACCTAAAGCTTTCAAAAACTTATTGAGGATTATGTCTAATCAGAGGAAACAGTTCCTTTGCTATACTCTCCTACTAGTAAATTCTTGACAAAGAAATAAATCACACCAATTCTTGCCAACCAGAAAAACATTTCACATTCTAGTGCTCTTTCTGTCTCTAGAGTATTGCAGAAAGTTTCTTTAGAACAAAGTAGACCAAGAAGCAAGATACACAGATTTCTACTGAAAAATAAATCTACTTCTCCATAATATTTCTGTGATTTATTCAAACAGAATACAATGGAATTATCACCTTTACAGCTAACCCACCCCAAACCTGAGCCCTTTTCCGTATAGCACTGAATGGTTACTATACTGATTAAAGAGCAAACACTACTGGAATGTACACAGTGAAGGGAAAAAAAAGTAAAGCTCTTTTTGCCAAAGTAACCATTTTCTCTACTAACGTGTTATCTAGAAAAATAAGGTCTAGGCAACGTCCAAAAGTGTTCAAGTTTCAATAAATAACTATCAATGCCCCAAGTTTTCACTGGCAGAAGAAATATGGAGCATACAGTTTAGAAAAGTATTTTCGTATGACTGAGTCAGCAATGCATTTCATCCTGCTTAAGATTTACAACAAAAATCACTTCCCTCCAGGGTTCGATTTTAAAATCAAAGCCATGTAGGTGCAAGAGCACCCACACAGCTGTCTTAACTCTCAATGGCAAATTAAAGCTCTAGAGAAAGACAGTATTTTAAAAAAAGTTCTTTATCAATACCAAGAAAATATACATAGCCATATTATGTTTTAAATATATATATACACACGCACATCTTTTCAAAAGGTATGATTCTGGCTATTTTTTTTAAGTTTGAAAAGCTTATCCATTGCTATACAGTTCAGTAAGGTGTATTAGGAAACACACGTTTTATATCCCCCATGAAAATAAAGTTGAATCTTTCTGTAAACAGTAATTTTCTTATTTTCCGAAATCTCTACAGACCTCAAGTACTTCACTGAAAAATAACCACCTGCCCCAGAACCACCCACGGAGACCCTCGCTGCTGAATGCGACATCTACAGATCTCGGGAAACGCTTAGCAACACCCGGCTCCCGCAAAAACGCCTTCTCCGGGCGCAAATAAATAATAATAATTAATAATAATAATAAAAATAATAATAGCAGAAGGGCGGCGGCGGGCGCGCACCTTGGCCCCGCGGTGCCCCCGGGCGGGATGGGGCCGGGGCCGGCGGGGTGTCCCTCCTCAGCAGGCGCTGGTCTCCGGCGCGGCGACGGCCGCCTCGGGGGGAGCCTCCCTGGGCTGGGCGGCGGCATGAGGAGGAGGATGCCCGGCAGCGTTGATGTGGCAGCCCGAGGAGAGGTGGCTGCGGACGCGGCCCTGCAGCTGGGTGACCTGGGCGCGGAGGAGGTTGGCGGTGGCGGCCAGCTCGGCGTTCTGCCCCTTGAGCGCCTTCACCTTCTCCTCCAGCCGGGCGATGCGCTCCAGCTTCCGCCGGCGGCACTTGGAGGCGGCGATGCGGTTCCGCAGCCGCTTGCGCTCTGCTTTCAGCCGCTCCTGGCTCTCCGCGTCCAGCGGCGACAGCGACGGCGGCGTCGGCGCGCTGCTACCGCCCTCCCCGCCCGCCGACGGCGGCACCTCGGGCACCGTCTGCGGCTCCTCCAGGGACCGCGCCGGCGGCAGCCGCCCGCTCCCCAGACCCGCCGCGCCGAAGGCCAGGCCCGGCGGCGGCGGCGGGGCGGAGGCGGCGGGGTAGGCGCTGCCCGAGGGGCTCAGCGGCCCCGCGGGGTTGAAGCCGCTCAAGTTGGTGTAGACGGCCGGAGGGTCGGCGGCGGCAGCGGCGGGGGGTCCCGGCGGCCCCGGGCGGGCGGTGCAGCAGGGTCCCGGCGCGGAGAGCGGTGGCGGCGGCGGCGCCAGGAGCTGGTTCTGCTTGTGCAGGTCGGCCAGGGCCTTGACGAAGCCGTCGGCGAAACCCTCCTGCTCCTGCGTCACCGGCTGCCGGTAGAGGAACGGCCCCGCCGCCGCCGCCCCGCCGCTCCCCGCCCCGGGCGCCGCTGGCCCCGGGCTGCCCGCGCCCAGGCCCGCGCCCCCCTGGATCAGC